AGGCAAATCCCAGAATGTGGGAGTGAAAGAACGGGGTCTGATGATCTGCCGAGAGTAGAACATACACCACAATTACACACTACAACAAAACAAGCGTATCGTAAAAGTAAAACAAACATAATGAACTACCCTTAATTGTTGAAAGTGTGTCTATGAGAGGGTCACAGCGTTGTAACCGAGAGAAAAGCTGAGCAAGACGAGCATCTACACGAAACATATATGTTAATAAACAAACGAACAATAGGATACTGTAATTATCACAACTCTACTGCGAAGTATTTGGCAATGATGCAACGTATCAAAACAGTGAAAAAAACAGAGTAAACAAACAAAAAACCTAATCAGAATAGTTCAGGACCCGGAATCGAAGAGCACAATACATAAGTTGTGACTGATTGCAAGGTTGACGAGGAGATTTAGCGAGCTGCTACACAGGGGAACTTAGAAATCCTTCAATAGCAACTCGTCCAGGAGTGGATCAATGGGTAATGATATGTCTTTGCTGAATTGGAGTAGCCCTGTCAAAGCGGATGCGACTTTCTGAAAAAGATTCAAAAGTGATTTACATACCTGACATCTTCACATAATTCAAAAAGTGGGAAAACATTTCTGCCTCCTAGCCTGTGCCTATTCCTTCATACCAATATCTACTCGCCATAAATGGCGAAGGATCGTAAAGGTAGCGATGCGCAACGATGACTGATGATCATCGCAATTACTGCTACTATCAAACACGCGATTCATAGGGCATCGTTTTCGAGGGAAAATACGAAACTTATCTCAAAACAGCGCGGAAGACAATAAGCACTTCCCACAGATTGACTTTTTTTTATTGATTCAGCAATCAATGATTCAAGTAATTTTTTGGGAACTTACCGTAACAGAAGCTATCAATAGGAGTAGATGGCCAAAACGAGCTGTGGCTTCAGAGGCTGGATGCCTTGTCATTAGATGTGCAAAAAGGGCATTTTGCACAGATTCGCGTCCAACTAAAGTGAAACATATATGGTCGCGACAACGACGGTTATGAACACTCTACTGATCAATGCTTTTGAGTAATAAATTTTTAATTTAAAAAAACAATGGAATCAGCAGAGTACATATTACCTAATAAAATTTATAGAGCTACTTGATGATTTTTCCGCAAAAATAAGCATTTTGCAGGGAAGAACACATCTAATCAAAATTTGGAGACGTGGTGAGTTGCTAACGACCAAAAATCGGTTTTTCTTGAATTGTTCTGAACATCTGAATTAGCTAACCGAGATTGCAGCATATTCTCAAAGCAAAAAAAAAGTGTTGCTTATGACAGAAATGGAAAACTAAAGGAAGTGGACTTTTTTCTTCTGGAAAGGCAGCGAAAATGCAAACAGGTTCGTACTGCGAAACTAAAGGCTGTGTTTTGCTAACTATTTTTAGAAAATTCTGTAACCGCTAGTGAGAAAAAGTGCAAGGATATTAGTCTTCCCTCACAAGGTCACTGTTGCAATTAAAGCTGCGGGTGCACTACATGAGGCTCTAAAAGGCTAAAGACTAATTGAGGCTGTTCGAAACAATTTCATCCAACGTCTCGAGATTTATCTTTCCATGTTGGAATGGGAACATGCGTTTGAACTTACCAAGCAAATGTCCAGACGATTTTATTGAGAGGCCCTTCACATTAGGATCGAGAGCCATGATGGCCTTGAGCGCGAGAAGTTCAGTTTCAGTTACGTGCAGTTTCCTCAGCTGGTTTATGACTTGATCGACCAAACCTCGACGCACTGCCCTGAAATTGTACTCGGCTGCAAATTGTCTATAATGCCATTCTCGCAAACTGATAGTCCATGCCTATTTGTCATGTCTGAATTAGGTTTAAGAGCGGCGTAATATCGGCGAAAATCGCCCAACGTCTATGCAATGGTCGCAAATCGCTAATGCGTGCAAAGCGCGATGTGATTGCTTGAAGTGCGCGATCTTTGGTCGTTTCGGCAGCTGGCGCTCTCTCCCACGCTTAATAGAGAGCGGTGGAATACTGGCCAGGAGGAG